CAAAGGGACACATGAGGGTAGGAGGTCCGGTAGACAGCGAGATTTGTTGCCTCTACCTTTGCCAGCCTTTGGTGCTACCCTTAAATTGGCCCGGATGCTAAAGTGCCCTGCCTCAGGACTGGTGCTTTGGAGGCCGTCGATCAGCAAACAGGTGGGCCGACAGCAGCTTAGGAAGCTTTGCAATGCAGCATGTTTTCAGACTTGGCGGTTGTTGGGTGTGATGGTCTTGAATGGTGAAGCCACGGGCTGGGATAGGCTCGCGCCGGCGAGTGAGCAAGTGCCCCTGAAGAGTCAGGGGGTTGCACTTGAGTTTATTGGAAGGCAGAGCGAGTGGTGGTCTCGCCGAGCCCTGGAGGAGCGACCTCCAGGGAACTTTGATGAGTTGGCCCGTGCTCGCCAAGTTGACTATTGTGGAGAAGAGGTTTTAAAAGCGCTCCCGTTGCGACTGGAGGAGCTCGCGCCGGGGCTTCCCGACGATGGTGTGGCCGGGTCCTTGGATGTCATGGCGGTGGCCAGTGATGATGTTCAGCGTTGGGTTGCAAATCCTGCTTTAGCTTTGCTTGAATCGGACTCGTGGCCTGACCCTCTGCCTACTGCTTCTATGCGTGTGTCGAGTGATGAATGGGTGCGCATCGTCAAGGTACTCTATGCAAAGGGCATCGTTGAAGGTATCAGTTTGGATGATGTGTTTCATGTGCGGGGGTCCCCCGTCCTGAATGGTGTCTTTGCGGTGGAAAAGAGCGGTACCCCAAGCCCGGGTGAGTCCCGGATAACAAGGTTGATTATGAACCTTGTCCCGTCAAACTCATTGCAACGCCTCATGACTTCAGACCTCCCTACATTGGCTGGTTCATCCCAATGGGCAGGTATTCATCTGCGACCCGATGAAGTGCTGCTTTGGAGTGGTGATGACCAAAAGGGTGCTTTTTATGCCTGGCGTTTACCCAAAGCCTGGAGGGGATTGATGACGTTCAAGATGCCGGTGCCGGGGTACATTGTGGGGCGCCCTGATGTGGAATCTATTCATGTCGCCGCGGCTGTGATCCCGATGGGTTGGCTGAATGCGGTGAGCTTGTTTCAGCATCTTCATCGGCGCGTGGGATTGGGCCCGTCGCCCCGCGGTGCGGGTCTGGACCCTACGGGGGAATGGCGACGCGATCGTCCTGTGCCTAGGGGGGCAATGGAACAAGGTGGGACATGGTTTCAATATTATCTAGATGATTTTGACTGTCCTGAGAAGGTTCCCCAACATTCATGGCGCAGCATGGTGGGCACAATGTCCCCCGTACATGCGCGACAGAGGGCTGCCTATGAGAGGGTAGGTGTTGGCATTTCGCAAAAGAAGGCGCATATTCGTGAGCCATGTGTCACGAGGATGGGTGCTGAAATCGACGGGATTGAGGGCAGGTTGTCTGCTCCCACGCCAAAGATGATTGAAGTTGGGTGGCTAGCAGTTTGGACGCTGGCGAAACCGGTGGTCTCTTCCCGGATGCTAATGGTGTTGCTGGGAAGGTTCACCCGCTGCTTTGAATTCCGGAGGCCACTTATGGGTTTGTTGAATGCGGTGTGGCCCAAGTCTATGTGGTGTCGGCCACGAAAGCTCACATCAGGGAAGATGGAAGAGTTGGTGAAGGCTATCGCTTTGTTACCATTTGCCTGCTCTTTGCTTCACACTCCAGTGTCGGGGCTGGTTACATGTTCAGACGCCTCTACCTTGGGGGGTGGTATGTGCGCTTCGGCGGGGTTGACCCCGTGGGGGAAGCAGTGTCTGGGTGAGCTCGACAGCCGCGCTCTCGACGAGGGATTTTTCAAACCTCAAGGGAGCATGAGGGCAAGTAATGCCATGGGGCCCAGGATGTTGGTGGTCTCTTTGTTTGATGGTGTTGGCTCCATCATGTGTGCTGCTACTCGGTTACCATTTACTGTTCGTGGCTATGCATCATCGGAAATTGCCAAGGACTGCATGCGGCTCACTCGCACGCGTTGGCCGGGAATCATCGAATTGGGGGACGCGCGACACATCTCCCCAAAAACTGTCAATCAACTTGCAACTTCCGTCGGCTATCGTCTAGATCTCGTGCTGGTTTCTGCAGGTTGCCCTTACTCTGATCACGAGGATGCGCAATTGTGGCTGCAGGAGGTTGTGCGAGTGCGCGATCTGTTAAGGCAGTCTTTGGGCGTGCCAGTGGAGATGTTGGTGGAGGCCATGTTCCCGCTCAACCCCAGCAACTTGAGAATCTTTAATGAAACCCTGCAACTCAAGCCTTTTCTGGTCGATGCAAAGCATTTAAGTTGGATGCGTAGGCCACGGCTGTTCTGGGTTACGTGGGCAGTGACGGCTGTGCAAGGCGAGACCCTGCGTGATGCAGGGAGTTACAATCAATGGGAGTTGAAAACCCATCGTGAGCCCAAGCAATCATGGGTGGACAGCGATGGGCAGTGGTTGTCACGGAGGGATGTCTTACTCCCAGACTACACTGCCCCTACACCCAGGCGAAACATGCCTCGTGCAGCCACAGGCCTTGCGGGCGCTACCGAACAGGCCAAGGCACGCTGGGTCTGTGATAGCTATAAACTCCCTGTTCAGCATTATGAGCAAGAGCACATGATTACAAGCGCTGATGGTTCTTTGAGGGTTCTCAAGCTTTGTGAATGGGAAAAGTTGCTGGGCTTTGATGACAACTACATCAGTGAAGGCCTACATCCAAAGTACAAAGATACAGACCGTGAAGTTAGGGGTGGACAGCTCCTGGGTAGCGCCTTTCACGTGTTTGTGGTTATGGCCTTATTGGATGAGCTGTTCTTTTCGTATGCTGGGGCTCGCAACAGGCTAAACCCGAACTTCTTCAGTCGTGGTGTGGCCCCAACTTCTTGGACTCTGAGGCCCACTTTTGTTAAGAAGGCATTTCCCTCTGATGATGTTACCCACATGGTCTCTCATTTCCTGAGGGTTGCCGAAAGGGGTGGAACTGATGTTCGTCTAGATGTTGGAGTCCCCTTTCGGGCAAAGGCGTGGCCACGAAGCAAGCGGAGTGCAAAGTCAACTTTTCCAATGGGCGATCATTCATGGCTACTCATGGGTTCATGAGGCACACATTAATGCGCTGGAACTTCAAGCTGTCTTAAATTCTGTGAAGTGGCGCCTTAGGCGCGGCAGCAACTGCTGTCATCGTGCCCTGGTTTTGATTGATTCTCAGGTGGTTTGCGCAATCATTGCTAAAGGCAGGACGAGCAGTGGTAAACTGAGAAGATCCTTGCAGTCTCTGAACGCTTTTTGTCTTGCCGCAGGGCTTTTCATTGCTGTTGCTTATGTAGATACAGGGAACAATCCTGCAGACATTCCGAGCCGATGGTGCGAGCAGCCAAGCCAAAAGCAAGGCCAAAGCTCACTTTGAGAGAACAGCAAGTGACCCCGGCGATGAGCCGGAGATACTCGATTGCTGTGTTGGCGTTCCTGGATTTTCTTTGCGACTCCAGCATAGTCATTGGCTATATCTCCCAGTTTGATGAGGCCGCATGCGCCTGGTTGGAATTCTTGTATGCTGATGGACAGCGCAAAGGCTTGGCGAGTGATGGGCTCGCTGGGATGCAGCACTTCTTGCCCCGGTGCACTGGCCGGTTACGGCAAAGCTGGAAACTACTTAAAGTGTGGCAAAAAGTTGAACCGCCGATGCGTGTCCTACCGATCAGTCCTTTAATTCTGCTGGGCATGGCTGGTTTGGCGGCAAGACTTGGCTTGCAGGACGTGGCTGCAGGTCTCTTGGTGTGTTTTGATGGCATGCTAAGGAGTGGCGAGCTTTACAGCCTCACAGTGGGTGATGTTACTTTTTATCATCAGCATGCAGTGCTTCGGTTGGGCTTGACCAAAAGCGGAAAGCGGACTGGCAGGGAAGAGATGGTCGTCATCAATAGCCTGTTAGCAGTGGCGTGGCTGCGACGCGCGTGCCGACGACGGTCCCCCAAGGAGCCCTTGCTGCGCAGAGGCGCAGACCACTTCCGCAAGTGCTTCAAACTTTTCCTGCAAGCGTTTGCGCTGGAAGACCTCTTGCTGAACGTGTACTCACTTCGACGCGGCGGTGCGACGTGGGATTTTCTGTCTCACCAGAGTATGGAGCGGACACTGCTGCGTGGCAGATGGGCTTCCACATCATCTGCCAGAGTATATTTGCAAGATGCAACAGCGATGGTCGCTCACTTGAGATTAGATGATTCACAAGTTCGCCTAGCAACCTCTGCTGCGGAGGTTCTTCGATCGGCAACAGCCAGGGTGGAAACGTGAAAGAGGTGTCGTGAGGTTCTGCTTGGGCAGACCAGAGTGCGGGTCATGACTTTGATCCGGAGCTTGTGATGGCAGGCTCGCTCTCTCTCTTTTCAATCACGACATCTTGTCCCCTCTTTAATTTGAAGATTTGAAGAGGTTTCACAAACAGATGGGTGCTCCATCTACAAACCTACCCTGGCGTGCACTGGGAAAAGGATTGCAGCGCCATTACATGGTGTCATGTGAGATCTGCCGTAGCCTGCCGTAGGCAGTAGGAACGTGAGCATGTCATGGTCAAATCCTGCATGCTCGCCGCTTGTTGCAGATCTTTCTCTCCCACCCTCCCACCCTGTGGATTCGGTTCCGATGGGGTTGAGGTGTGGCGGAAAGAGGTGTCGTGAGGTTCTGCTTGGGCAGACCAGAGTGCGGGTCATGACTTTGATCCGGAGCTTGTGATGGCAGGCTCGCTCTCTCTCTTTTCAATCACGACATCTTGTCCCCTCTTTAATTTGAAGATTTGAAGAGGTTTCACAAACAGATGGGTGCTCCATCTACAAACCTACCCTGGCGTGCACTGGGAAAAGGATTGCAGCGCCATTACATGTTGATACTAGGTGCGCCTTCGTTGCTTTCTCGTAACCTGTGTTTCTTGAGCTTTCAGTTGCTCCCTGCACCTTATCACATCGCCTTGTGTTCTGAACTATGTCATGGTCACAGGACAGTAGCGTGTTGTGACCAGGCTCGAAAGCATCGGGAGGAGCATGTCCGCGCAGAGCGAAAGGCTAGCAGCTGACACGAAGTTTAGGTTGGTTTGTCATTGTAGCTCTTTGTATTGTACGAGGCTGCTGAAGAAGAGGCGGCCAAGCTCGTGCAGGTGAAAGTGCGTGCCTTATGAGAGGATGCACGGTGGAGCCACAAGTCTGGCCTAACTCCAGTTCAAATGTGGCTATCACTATGCTATCGCTGGCTATGTGCGTTCGAATTCTGTTTTGTCTCCGCGTGCTCACTGGATGCTCACGGATACAGACAAGTGTGCAATCCTCTAGTTCTCTAGTTGGATTAGTCGGTTCTTGTCAACCAATTCGGAAAGTACGAGGCGAAAGCATACTGATGTCCTGACCCCCCACACACACAAGCTTCGTTGGCAGAGAGGTTTACGAAGCCGTTCGCACAAGGGGCCTGACTTGCTGGAAAAGGCTCCGAGAAACTTGTGGTCTTTTCCCCTGGCGTCCCGCCCCTGCCATCTAAAGCGGCAGCCAAATCCACGCACACGCGCACCATTCGCACCGCACTCCTGTCACACTTGATGATCTCTTGACTCTTGAGTGGGCCACTGCCCCTGCTGTAATGCAGAACATTCAGGAATCTTTGCCAGTCCTATGCCTTAGTAGCAGGGTTGCACACACACACACACACAGGAAGCCACAAGGGCTGTGTGCAGCAGAACTGACTGCAACTCATGAACACAGGCTGTTTTCATCTCTTGCATCCGGTGCAAACCGTACAAAGACAACTGGCTCCAATGTCCTACGGACAGTAATTGGCTCGGTGAAAGGTATGTGAGGACCAGCTTGATGTAATCGAAAAGCAGCTTTGACTCTGTATTGAAGAATCAGCTTAACCTTGTCAATGGTGTCCGTAGTGAGGAATTCAAGTGAAACACCATTGCCTGTCCCCAAGTGACGCGGTCCGGCGGGACATGGACTTCAGGGAAGCCAGATTGTGCAGCTGTACGTTTCATGGCGAAATGCAGAAATAACGAATTCACAAAAACTTGTACCAAGTAGCTACTGACATACATATGAGATCAGATGAGGCAATCCGAACGGGGAAGCCGGAAATGTCGGAAATCGCTGATCGCTGATTTCGCCAGCATACACACGATTTGTGAAGTGAAACACCCATGGCTTCTGAACCTGTTCATTTTGTGACGACGATGTTGACTGCTTGAGATGTCGATCTTTAAAGGGGTATCGACGGTAGAGAGTCGGCTTCAAGGTCCGAACACATGTCCTTTGAAAGGCACCTTGGGCAATTTTCCGTTGCACCGAACAAATCGAAGAGTTTGCTCGTCAGGTGGTTCAGGCAAGAGTTGCCGGTGCAGGCAGAACCTGAGGACCCCGTCTTGCCGTCTGAGCCGCAAGAGTTGGTTTTGTTATGTTGCGAGCGCTACATCGCCATGAACATTGCTGCAGCCAGTCGGCGCATGACTTGGGCTCCCGTTGAACGCTTCGAAAGTGGTTGCAACGGTTGCCGTGTTCATTCCGGCTGGTTGGGTAATTGGGTGTGTAACACATGTGGTCGTACATTCACACAAGATGACGAGTGCCTGGCGACACTGCGTGCCAACCATTCGTGTGCCTTGCAAAGCGGTTGCCGTCTGTGTTTAGACTTTTCTAATGATTCCTACACTTGGATGTGTGGCGCAACCGGCTCTCTGCTAAGTGCCGCTGATACCAGTGCACATGTATCCCTTCAATCGCAGCCGCAGCCGCCTGTTGAGAATGCTTGCAATGTTGAGCGCCGAGGTTATTTTGCAGGCATGCCTCCAGCGACCAACAATGAAGCAACCAACAGCTTTTTGTATTGTCCCCTGCTGTTGCATGCAGCGGACGTGTTGCCAACTCAGGTCGTTGATGCATGGTCGCGTGCGATCCCTTGGTTTGCAGCTGCGTGCACATACCTGCGTGATCAGACTTGCGAGCTTACCTTCGTTGCGCAGGCGTATGCAGAACTCTTGCAAATTTCATGCCAGCATGATCCTGCGTTGGTACAAACATTCAGCCAAAGTGGTGACGCGGCAGCTGCGCAACACCTCACCGAGTTGGCTACAGAGTTGTCGAGTTGGGATGTTTCTCTTTCCGTTGTGGTTCCGGGAGTTGTTGATGCACGAGGTCATGTCCCGAGCCAACTTCAGGACCTTTTGTTGCAAATGTTCGGGGGCTTGCAATTTGCATTGGACGTTGATTCCGCTGTTACAACATTCCGGAACACAGGTGCATGGCAGGAATCATTGCCGAGTCTGCGACCACACGTGCGTGAACCTCGTAGTGCGCAGCATTCGCACGAACACGGGCTTCAAGCCGGCTCGGGCGGTGATAGAATGCGCCAGCTTCCACATTCTGGTACTCGCAGTTTGTCGGAACCTCCGAGCAGCACTGCTTTGGCGGCAAATGTCGGTGACGATGCGCTTGACGTGCCAATCTTGCGTGAGGACTTGCATGAGCATGCTTGTTGTCGCCATGTAACTTCTCGTGTTGGTGCTTTGCCCAGATGCACAGTGTGTAATTCCAGGATTCTCCGCGGTTCTTCATTTCATCGTTGTG